TAGTCTCTAGTCTTTATGCTCCTGTTTCTAGTCTTTATCCCCTTGTTTCTAGTCTCCAGTCTTTATCCCCCTGTTTCTAGTCCCTAGTCTGTATGCTCCTGTTTCTAGTCTTTATCCCCTTGTTTCTAGTCTCTAGTCGTTATCCCCTTGTTTTTAGTCTCCAGTCTTTATCCCCCTGTTTCTAGTCTCTAGTCTTTATCCCCTTGTTTCTAGTCTTTATGCTCCTGTTTCTAGTCCCTAGTCTTTATGCTCCTGTTTCTAGTCTCTAGCATTTATGCTCCTGTTTCTAGTCTTTATCCCTGTTTCTAGTATCTAGTCTTTATGCTCCTGCTTCTTGTCTCTAGTCTTTATTACATTACATGTTAATTGTTAGACGCTTTCATCCAAAGCGACATACTCAATACTGTGGACAATCACCACAGGAGCAATTTGAGGTGAAGTGTCTCAGGGACACAACGACATGCTGACTGCAGTGGGGTTTGAACCTGTGCTCCCCTGATCCGAACACCAACGCACTACTCCACTGCGCCACAGTCTCCCATTTATGCTCCTACTTCTAGTCTTTTTTAATTATATTGGCAAAGAAGAAGCATACACACACACTGCAGAGCATAATATACTGTCATTGTGGTGAAATAAATTGAAATAATTACATTTTAACTAGGAGTGTTTACACAAACAGACAGACACACACACCTCTGAGTTCAATGTGAAGGAAGCTGGTTGTTCCTAGGTTCTCTAGAAAGACTCCACGGGTGGAGGAGGTCTTGAAGTAGAAGGATATATCGGTGCTGGTCTCTCCTCTGAAGGACGGGAAGCGGAGGGAGGAGGCCGGGCTGCTGAAGGACGCTGCATTCCAGAAGCTCCCTTCGGAAAACAACAGCAGGCCATGCATGAACATACCAATGTTTCTGTAATGATACGTCAAGTCTCTGTGAAAGATAGATGCGTGTTTGTGTGATGAGGGTGTGTGTGTTTTATTTTAAAAGAGAGAGCAAGAGAGAGAGAGACACTCACAGTCCCCCTGGCATTTGAGTGGCCCTACAGTCAATTTGGCCTCAGATCCAGCTCTGCTCGTATCACCAACCACAACCTGACTGACCGGCAGGTGGTCCTTATACACCAACAGGCCTGAATCCTCCCTCCTACACGCACACACACACACACACACACACACACACACACACACACACACACACACACACACACACACACACACACACACACACACACACACACACACACACACCAAAGTAAACACAACTGACGTATTAACAAAATATGTCTACTGCATCATTTAGCGGTGCAGATAAAGGACTTCGCCCATAAGAGTTAATCAACGTACAAATACAACAAGGAAACTGCCCTACAGAGAGAATGCAACTAACTTTTCAAATAACAACTGTAATTGTCACTTCATAAAAAATAAATTCAAGTGAAGCATTATACCCCCCTTTGTAAAATGGACAGAACAGATGGGGGTCCACTCACCATGAGCGCAGGTCAGCGTCACAGTTGCAGTAGTGTTTGGCGTCAGTACAGTTGTGTTCGATACCACAGGAACACTTCTGTATGCCTGGTCCTGAGCCCCCCCAGTAAGAATGCCTCTCATTGGCTCTTCCTACCCACCAGGTATAAGGGGCACCATCTAAGTCAGACCATCAGCTTGGTGTCATTTTTAAATTCAAAATGTTTTAGTTCAGACACATGTTTACCTTGAAAATATCAGTAGTGTTTTCTACAGTACAATTCACACCAAAACATATCAGTTACACAGAACTGTTAACCATGTGCATTGTTTTGATAGTTTACATCTGAATGAGTCTTCAAACAGTGTGACTGAAGGGTATAACATTAGCTTACTCTCATGGTTTATTATAGGTGATGGCAAACCACCAACACGGAGCACACACCTAAACCTGTTGTCGGTTTAAGAGTGAGTATTTACATGCATGCATTTAATTGTGCAGATATGCATTAATATGTGCCATAATTGTGTTACTGACTGTACTTTTTGCTGACATTGGGCTCATGTGGTTTTTATGCTTGTGTGCTCTTATATGTATATATTTATTCCATCATCATCCTCCTGGCACTGCAGACAACAATTCTGCCATATTTACATAATGGGCTCAAGTGTTCATGTAATTACGTACAATGTCCCTTCTAATATAAATGAATAAAAAAATGCCCTGAAGAGTCCATTGGTTAATGGTTAACATGCATCATATATCTGCATGCAGTTTTACCTGGAGTGTTGAGCAGGCGGGACATCCTGCAGGCGTAGCCCACGTACTGCTCACAGTACTCTGCACTGCTGGACACTGACAGCAGCTGCACTCACAGGAAGGACACACAAACAGAAATTCTTTCTATGTTTTCTTTTGTTAAACAAGGTTAATGTTATTTTTAAACTGATACATTTGTTACCTTCATTACACAACACAGTGTAAAAAAAATGTAAACAAAAATACCTTAACTAGTGACTATTAGTAGCACCAATGCAAAGCACACAAATACTTCAAGTTCTCCACTCTGAACACAACAAGACAAAGTGTGGAGCCAGGTGGCTAACAGTAGGTGTGTAGTCATTGTGTACCTGTTCATCAGTCACATTGTAAGTGATCTGCAGCACTGCCTTCCCCTCCTGCTCTGAGCTGGTGACTGATGTCTGAGGAGAGAGGTTGTTCTTCAGCATCGTCCAAACCTTTCCCTCTAAAGCCCCAGAGAAATACCAGCATTAGTATCATATGACAGATAGATGTTTCTATACAATAGCACTTACATGTATCTTGACATTCACAAAAACACACATAATAATAATAAAGGGAAATAATTGTTTTAGTTTAAGAGCCTGTGTCCACATAGCGCTGCTAGGGCGCTAGGGAGGTCGTCCTCCTAGCATCAGAATAGTGTTCCCAGCACTTTTTCAATGTCTCTATGACAACAAATTATCGACAATGTATCATCGCTGTTGTAAGACAAGCTAGCATGGCACCCCTGGGTTTTAAACAAATCTATTTGTGCTACTATATATTTGTCTGACAGGTTTTTTACTATTAACACCAATGAGATGGTTATTGCTCTCACACTTTGACTGAATGGTCTGTCAAAGCTCATTCTGAAAGCCGTAGAGCGAGGAGGACGATGTCGGTATGGAGGTAAAAGTCAACATCTATTGTTTGCTTAAACAATCCTTTAGGTCTTTGTTTTGATAGTTCATATTTAAAATATATGGTCAAAAACAAGCTTCTCCTCCAATTTATACAGTGGCATCATCAGAGCTGTCCTGAAAAGTTGAAATATTTTCATCCGGAAGCACCACCAGTCGCACAAAAACGGCGATGCGCTTGTCAAAAACATTTTCTCAAGATGGCTGCGCTTTCTCCTCTTTGGAAACAATTGACAAAAGGCACTGGCGTTCAGAAAAAGGTACCATGTTTTTTAAGCTGAGGAGTTGAAAGAAGAATTTTGTGTAAAATGTTTGGGCAAACATTGACAAGCGCTGTTCTGGTCTTTTGTTGCTGTATTACCATGTACAAATATGTTTAAACCTTTTCAGCGACATCTCACCTGTCATGTCACAGTGGACTCTGAAGGGGGCGATAGATCCACTGCCGTCTGGGTCAATCCAGAAGCTCCCTGAGCTCTTCCCCTGGTGCTGATACTCCTCACAGGACTGTTGATACATGGCTACAGAGGAGGAGACACATGGGTCAGCACACACAGATCAGTTAGTGTGCTTGTGTGACGTGTGCGAGCATGCATGTGCACTTACATGTATGGCAGGTGGCTCCAGTGTATCCTGTGCCACTACAGTTGCAGCTGAATGTATCCCACGTCTGAGAACAGCGCCCGTCGTGCTCACAGTAATTAGGAACACACCTAATAAAGAAGGGAGGGATAGTGGGAGGAATCTCATAAGAACCTGTTTCAAACCTACTGTATTTGCTGTTAGGCACCAGAACAACCAACTGAACCTTCATCCTTGATCCATTCTTAGATTTGTTCCAATCTTATGTTTATACCTGTCTATAATAGCACACATATCCAGGCTGACATTTTCAAATGTTCCAATGAGGCCCTGCTCCACAGCCCTGAGGTCAGCCAGATGGTCGTCTATGTGGATCATCTGCATGCAGCCCTGAAAGGAGCGCTGAAGGGATCGAGTGTTGCCGTGCAGAACGTTTCCTGAAAGCAAGCGGAGAAGGTCAAAAGTCTTTAATATAACACTAAAGATCTTATAGAATGAACTTTGCTGCGACTGAACAGTTTGTATGTGCTGCATCTTCTCCTGCTGTGTCACCCCTATGACTGTAGGCAAGATATTAGAAACATTCAGGTCCTGGGTCTAAAGTGTCTAGAGACATATTACAGATTACATTATTTACTACAACCTTTTCAAGACACATACAAGTTACAACAGACAGTTAGTAATGTTTTTGAGGAATCACCTCCAAAGTGGTAGGTTCCTCCAGTCTGGATCTGGATTGGGATGGCTGTTCTCACTGTGGAGGCCTCGTCTCCATCAACTGTCAGCATAGCATAGTTCTCCAAAGCATTCAGATGGACACTGTGCCACTGGCCATCGTTCAGACCTGAGCCTGCAAGGTAAACCACACTTTAGTCTATAAACACGTATGTAATATCTTTCACAGCGCTTTAAATGTATAATAATGTCATAAATATGTTCAACAACAGAACTTATTCCAACTTATTTCCCCTCACACACCGGCTAGAAAAAAAGATTTTATAAAAGTTGTACACTGTACACTGACTAAAAATGTGTCTGTCCTCCAAAAGTGCTCAAAGCAGCATTTGTCGAGCACATATGTCAAAGCTTGAATATAGTAAATGTCAAACATTTCGGTTTAATATATCTTAGCATTTAGATGTTAGGGTTAGATTGATTTATTTATTTTTATATAAGAAGTCCCTTCTTATATGCACATTAATGAACATGAGCATGTGAGTCCATCATGAAAATGCCAGATTTAGCCATAGAGGCTAATTTTCATCTGTAGTCCCTGACAGGTTGATGGCATTCAAAAAAACTAAAACACACAAGAGTTTGCACAGATAAAAGCACATGAGCATGATTGAAACACATGAGCACAATTTACTTACAATTGCAGCACAAAATAAAGCAAACAAAAACAAAACCCATTAAACACGCTTCTGTGTAATACATGAACTCTCTCTCTCCAATCAAAGAGGTGTTAGTAATATATATAATATTAATGTGTTCTTGAATCAATTACATTTAACTTAACGATAACATTTAAAATATAAAAAAATATGAGGAAAGCAGCAATAAAAACAATTGAATTAAAAGTTCTAACTTATTGAAGATTTGAGGGTTCCTGAACATCTATTCTGAAGATCAATGATCTGAGCAAACCTGATGAGATGTCAATACGCATGTTCTTCTTCTGTGTGACATTCATGTAAACGGTGACCTTGCCCTCCGTCAGTCCCACCTCCACCCAGCCATCAGCTAGTGCGGTGAACATCAGCAGCCCGTTGGGATTCCAAGTCCTGAACGACAGACTGACGGACAGCGTGTCGCTGTCAGTCTGACCCGGCAGCCGCAGGAAGGACGTGGAGTTGAAGAAGACAGAGAAGGAGTTGGCCTCAGCACAAGAAAATGTCAGGTTACGCTACAGAGGAGAAGAGACACAGAGACAGACTTGAGCTGTTACAGGAGCTCTAATTATGAACAGTAATACATCAACAACGGATCTAGTTACAAGTTGTAATGTGAAATGTTTAACTACTTGTAATTAGATCCGCAGTATCCAACCAATCACAAACTAGGGCCTTCTCCATAGCTTTGGTGTTAGACCTCGTTTTGTTCTGTTATTAAGCATACAATGTTTTTGTGGGGTTATAACTCAAATTGACAATGTCATCTAGTCTAATTGTCATTTCAGGCCTATTGTTACCTCATCTCACCCATTGAATCATGATCAATATGACCTTATTCATGGTTATTACTGAAATATAATGCATGCATGAGTGTGGATATGTAGTTGGTAGAAATATAACATACTGTATACACACACACACACACACACACACACACACACACACACACACACACACACACACACACACACACACCCCCCCCCCCCCCCCCATTGATTTCAAAGTTTCCTTACAAAGCTGGAGGTGTCCACCTTCTTCCTGCGGACCAGGTTGGTGATGTTGTCTCCGTTGTAGGTGATTCCCTCCATGCAGCCCACAAAGTTATCTACACCTCCGGAGCTGGGCTTTGCTGAAACAGGGTGCCCCCCGAAACTGATCTGAGGACAGGCAGCAGAGCGACAGAGACTAAATGAAACTCATCCCACCCCCATGTTTATTGTACTACTGTGAGACACACACAGTTACCGGACGGAACTCTCATTACATAATTAGTAATTAAGGCATTTTAACATAACAACAAAATAAAACACTATTTAAAAAATATATTATATTGTTTTTCCAGGTAGGAAATTCACAATCTCCAGTGAAATTATTTAAAAATATATATATTCAAATTATGATTTACTGAATAATTTGTAGGACCAAACAGAGATGTTTTGTCTTGAACATTTGATCTGTAGGCAATACTTATTCAGAATGGGGCTTCCACACATATTTTGCATTTATAACAAATATTGCGATTTTGGAAATTGCACTTTGCCATATTGCCAATTTGATAACAGCAAAATGTATGTATTAGTGCGCATACGCCGACCATGCATACAGCCTGTTGCAGTTGCTAGATTTTTTTACTATTTTTGTCTTTTAGGGTTCCTATTTTGATTAGATTGTTACTCTATTAGTACCTTTTTCAATCAATCAATTAATCAATCAATCAATCAATCAATGTTTATTTATATAGCCTGATATCACAAATGTTACATTTGTCTCAGTGGACTTCACCGTTTGTACAGAATATCAGTATGACAATACGGCACCCTCTGTCCTCAGTCTGCAGGTCTCCCTTGAAAAAGAGATCTATGATCTCAATGGGACCAATCTGGTTAAATAAAGGTTTGAAACTAAATGAAATGAAATTAGACCCTCACATCGTACAAGGAAAAACTTCCAGAGAAAACCCACAGTTTAAAGGGGAACATGGGAGAAACCTCAGGGAGAGCAACAGAGGAGGGATCCCTCTCCCAGGACGGACAGACGTGCAATAGATGCCGTGTGTAAATCGAAAAGATAATACATTTACAACATAGGTAGTCCAAATGTTTGGAAATGCATGTGTCTATAACAAGAAGATGAATCCACAAGGATGTCCATAATCCGGTGGGAGCCATCAGGGAAGTAGTATGATGAGAGTCAGGCAGGACCACAGTGACTGGTTCAGCCACGATTCAAAGTCCAGAACTCAGGATCCAGAACTCAGGATAGAGGATCCAGGATACAGGACCACAGTTATAGGTTCAGCCACGACTCAAAGTCCAGGACTTGAATCCAGAACTCAGGATAGAGGATCCAGGACACAGGATCCAGGACTCAGGACTAAGGATCCAGGACTCAGGACACAGGATCCAGGACACAGGACTAAGGATCCAGGACTCAGGACTAAGGATCCAGGACTCAGGACACAGGATCCAGGACACAGGACCGCAGCAACAGGATCAGCCACGACTCAGGATCCCGGCGTAGATAGACACCAAAAATAAATTTGGGGGAAGCTGGGTTATTTTAAGCTGTGCCCTCTCTAAACCTTGGTGTAGAGAGAGATTTTTGTTTTTGTTTTATCGACATTGATTTGCTTCTGTTGTGCATCCAAGCCACTGTGGCGCAGCAACTATATGGCTGCCTTGTTTCCAGCAGAGAGAAGCTAATCATGCTAAAACAGGCTAGCATAGTGGTCCGAACAATGGCTATCCCCACAGAAATCTGGTGAACACAGGGGGTGCCTTGTAACCCAGAAGAGACGAAGGAGGCATTTTAGTTACAGATTAATGGAGACAAGAGACGTAAAATCACTGGATGATGGGAATGAACAAACTACGGGTGTTAGCCAGGAGTCAGACACAATATCAGGAGTGTAGTTTAATGTGCTTTACGGAAACATGGCTGCTTCAGGATATATCTGATATTCCTTTGATGGCTTCCGAACTGTACGGACTGTAATTTACCTCATGGTCCAGGTCCAGGTGGTCAAACTCTCCATTGGTCCTGAACTGCTGAGTGTGATGGTCGAGTGTGAAGTTAACATTCCTTCGGTAGCGCTCTATGACGACTGAGTGCCAGTGGTCATCATCTAGTAAGCTCCCACTGGTCACAGATGTGTGACCCTGGATGGAACCACACTGGTCACTTCCTGGAGAGCAGCAAGTAAATCACACAGAGAAAGATTGTACAAGTTTATTATGGCATTATCATGCAGCAGTATCAGTAGTATAATATAGTCCTTAAAACGGCAATAGAATAGAAAAGGTTCTCTGTTGTGAACATGCTTGCTACCTAGGTTGAGGCTTAGCTGCAGTCTGGCCCTGCGCAGCTCCAAAGAGATGTAGTCCCCCTGCTGTCCCTCTCCGTGGAGCAGGACCCCGGCTCCAGCTGTGGTTCTGAACTTAAGAGAGATCAAATCCTTCACAATCTTTATCTTCTTACTCCTGAAGCGGTAGGAGATCACACCAAGGCCATCAAAACTGATCACATCTGCCCCTGGAAGAATATGAGAAAATCACAAAAAAGGTTCAGACAATTATCTTTCCTGCCAAAAGAACAGATCATGGAAGCGGGGTCATCATTGTGCCTCCTTGCTGGATCGTGGGAAAGTGTTTCCCTTTTCGCTGCCTTTCTTTAGTGCTCATCACAGCTAGTGCTTAGAAAACGTTTTCAAATGGAGATTAGAAATTCAAATAGATTTGAATGGAGATGGCACAACATAAAAATTACACTGTTGTGCGCATGCACATAACAATGTAGATGCTAAAAGCGTAATTGTACATTTGATGTGCAGGGTGGGTGGGGGTAATAGTAGACTTGAAGAATAGTCGCTAATAAAAGCTTTGCTAATTTTGTGGTGAACATTTAATTTCCTATACATTCTTCACACTAAAAGCTTTTGTTATTTTGATATTTGAAGGCTTTTGTGGTGAAGCAGAACAATCCATCAAAGCTGGTTCATTACCGCTGTTCATCAACAGTAAATCAAAACTACTCCTATACGGATAAAAGGGTACACTAAACTTAACTTCGCTCCAAAGAAGGAAAATATGAAGTTTTAAAAATACTTTTAAAAACGGCTCTGTGTCTGGTCTCCTGAGACCAGTGTTGGGACTATCCATCCATCCATCTTCTCCCGCTTATCCGTGGTCGGGTCGCGGAGGTAGCAGTTCCAGCAGAGAGCCCCAAACTTTCTTTTCCCTGGCCACATCAACCAGCTCTGAGTGGGGGATCCCAAGGCGCTCCCAGGCCAGCGAAGAGATATAATCCCTCCATCTGGTTCTAGGTCTACCCCTTGGTCTCTTCCCAGCTGGACGTGCCTGGAACACCTCCCTAGGGAGGCGCCCAGGTGGCATCCTAACTAGGTGCCCGAACCACCTCAACTGGCTCCTTTCGACGCGAAGGAGGAGCGGTTCAACTCCGAGTCCCTCCCGGATGACCGAACTTCTCACCTTATCCCTAAGGGAGACACCAGCCACCCTGCGGAGAAAACCCATCTCGGCCGCTTGTACCCGCGATCTCGTTCTTTCGGTCATGACCCATCCTTCATGACCATAGGTGAGGGTAGGAACGAAAATGGCGTGTTAGGACTAACGCGTTACAAAAACGCAACTACTTTTTGCTGTAACTAATAACGTTACTAGTTACCTATTCCCATTAAGTAACGCTGTTATAGTTACTGTGATTTAAATGGGTGCGTTACTGCGTTACATTATGTGATCCAACTTAACCGAATCTCCCTGCGGATTTAATTTACAGGCAAATACAGCGATGTCCTCTCACAGCACCATGGAAAAGTGAAAGTAACCAGAGAGGAGTGATGATTGGATAACGCGGGGTAACATTTCAGGGTAAGCCAATCAGAGACAGAGTTGGGCGGGTCTTGCCTTATGGGGAAATTACACAGACACACAAACACCTGCTAACACACACACACATACACAGCAACGCCCACCAACAGCACACACACACACACACAATGGCAGATGCAAGTATCAGCGAGAGCAGCAGCTTATTTACAACTTGGAAATATAACCACTATTTTCAATTTGTGGGGATAAAGGACGCAAAATATTACGGTAAAATGTAAACTGTGTGCAGACAGAAAGCATTGTCCACATCGAATAACAGCAATGCCAATCTCCTGAAGCACCTAAGTAATGTACATGCTATGGGGCTATAAAACTAGTCGCCAAAACCCCACCTTCTCAACCACCGGCAGTGACCCAGATGGAGCAACACCATCTAAACAGCCAAAAACGTATTTTTTTAAATCGCCACATGTCACCCAGAGTCAACTAAACAGATTGATTGCTGAAAATAGTTTGTCTGTCTTCAGTGTCAGTCTGACAGTTTATTATTTATCTAATTGTTACTGCCAAAAGAGTGTAGTTCTTGTTTAATTGTTACACTGTCCAAAATAGTGCAGTTGTTGTTAATGTGTAC